ACAAATTTATATGTATACACGGAAAGAACAATTTTGTTAAAAAGATCTAAAAAATTTTACTAAAAACAGATCTGAAAATAATTTTTTGTTGAATCATCAAAATAATTTGTTGGAATGTTAAAACTGATAAACATTGCTATAAAACGTTTTGATTTTCTAGCAATCACTTTGACTTTTAGACAAAATTATTTCGATTATTGAACAAACATTATTTTCAGATCTGGATTCAGCAAAATTGTTCTTTCCGTGTATATATTTTTTTATGCAAATTCTTTTATCTATACACGGAAAGAACAATTTTGCTGAATCCAAATCTGAAAATAATTTTTGTTCAATAATCAAAATAATTCTATGCGAAAGTCAAAATGATTGCTAGAATATCAAAACATTTTATAGCAATGCTTATTAGTTTTAACATTCCAACAAATTATTTTGATGATTCAACAAAAAATTATTTTCAGATCTGCTTTCAGCAAAATTTTTAGACCTTTCGACAAAATTGTTCTTTCTGTATATATATATATGCGTATACATCTTTGTCCTATATAGACGTATATGAATAAACTATCTACTGTGCTTGTTTTCATATATACAGATATTATATAAACACCGAAGGAAGGTGGGGGGAGGGAGAGGGGAATAATCATCTGCGTATCGCTTTTCTTTCAACACATTTAACACTCGTCGTGCGCGCGACTCTTTCGAATGTACAAACGGATATAATTCGTGTTTTAACGCGCCCGACTCGCTTGCGTTTGTGAGAAAGAAAAAAAGAAAAACCTTTTCTCGCATTTTAGCGGATAAGAATGGAAAAGATTGCATTGTAATCGAGGCACCTTTACGAGTAGCGACGTGCAATTCGCGGAAGGAGAAACGTAAAAGAAACAATAGCTTTTATTAATCTTGTAAACAAAGACATTGCTCGTCATATTCCAATAAATACTCCCCCGAACTGCAGCAAATAAGATATTTTCTCCGAGGGACGCGATGTATTTTCCATCTCGGTCAGTTAGTTTTAAGCCGCTGACGCTTTGATCCGTAACGAAACAGAGGGATTTAACTGCGAGGTGGATTCTAAAATGAAACGCAGGTTCTAACCAGCTGTAATGGTATCGAGAGATAAATCTGTTTCCTGAACTGTGCATGTTGATTCGATTGTGTGCGTTGCTCGAAAATTTATGAGCGTGTCGGCGAATATATCTCACTCGCGGCAATATTAATATCCTTTAAAAACATAAATTGTCAGAATATAAAATATCTTAAAGACATAAAATATGAATTATAGAAATATCGAAGATATATTTTAAAATAATCGCGCTCTCTCGTGTGAGAATCGAAATTGAGAAAAATCGTTGTAGAATTTACTGGTTAAGGAAAACATCATTTATTAAAGGCTGAACAATATAACATCTCGTTAATTAAAGTTTGTAATCTCCGACGGCGAGTTCACGACTGCGTTTTGCATCGCCTCTAGCTTTGGATGTAAACAACTTTCGCATCCTTTGTCATGCAATTACGCATTTTCTCTCGTTCTCACATAGAATTGTGGAATATCCAGAATGTACTACAGCTCGCGTTCTTAATTATAAGAGAGATTATTTAACATAGTTGGAAAATCTTTTTTGTTGAAAATATTAGGGTGGCTTTTTTTTTGCAGAACTATCGCAACTGAAAAACTTTTTGTAAGTCAAGCTTCAATAGAAAAATTACTGGCAAAACTTTACTCGTCCATCTTGTTTTATGATCATCAATAGACACTTTCTTTTATTAAAGACAGATATTATTTTGAAAGAATTTTAATTTGAAGTTCTGTGTCAAATTCTAATACCAAAAAATAAAAAATTATGAAAAATGGTAGCATCGTGATAAACTTCTGTTAAACAAAAAAATTGGTTTTAAATTAGCCAGAGAGTTACGCTTGCAAGTTTAAATTTATAGTAGAAGCACCCTGTTCATTTTGTTTTGCTTCCTGTTTTCCCACTACTATTCTCTGTCAGAGCTAATTAAAAGTATCCGGTACAGTAAGTAGATTACGTTACGTATCAACTCTGTTCTGTTTTCCACTCTCCGGACCAAGGCAACCCATCATGTAACTTTTACGACTTTCTATCGAAAATCCCTGATCGCAGTTTGGCCTTTTGATTTCTATATCGATCTTCGATGGTTACAGGGACGAAAAACAGCCGGAAAATGCTTAGAATTTCGGCAGCCTCGTCCTACATACATGCGATCAGATATGACGTTCCGTTTCGCCTTCAAAATACCAAAAGAGCGCTGATAGTTGAGGTAGCTTTTCGTGCACGTACGATCACAGGACGAAGGACGAGAGCATGCCTTCCGATCAATGATTCAAGTCGTATCTAGACTGAACAAACGTGCGCGAACAAATATAAGTACTCGCGACGCCGCCGCGCGGGCCGTTTGCACTCACTGAGGCAAGTTGTTTATCCGTATTTGTTCGCACTTGTTTGCTTGCTCCGGATACGGCTTGATGAGCTCCTAGGCACGTGATCGGTCCTCCAACGCGGTAGAATAGAATATTGATTTAAGCGCGCGGATCTGTACGGGGTACGAAACATTTGGAATAAAAATATATCGAAGCGTTTCTCGTATATACACATATCGAAGCAGAGCATTGCAGTATCGCTAACGATGTGTAGCTTCCTGGTCTAGCCATTTTTGTATTGTAAAACGACGCCGGAAGGTATAAAGAAAATTCCCTTTTAAATGGTAATGGCTTTCTGGCTTTACGATCAAATATCGCGTGTTATTGAACGCCGGCGTTTGCGATATTTATGGCCTTTTATGTTACTAAGCCAATGATCTCTCTCGATCACCCGTGTGTGGGCGACACGGTGAAAAAATCCGCCGCGTTCTTGCCGCGTTTTTTGATGCACGAAATGTCACGCGAATCAGTTGTTTGCGTAGGTTAATTCAAAAGTTTATAATACCTTCGCTCAATCTCTTAATGGACTGATTAAATAAAATGTAATGTTATTCAATATTGAGTTAAGATTTTTGCAAAATTAAACTTACACAAAGTACAAATTGAAATAACTTGTTCGACTAAAGAAAATGAAATTAAATCTACTGCCTATATCACGGTTGCCTTTTAAGGAGTATTGTGCCGGACATGTATTAGTGTTCTGCTAAAAGATCATTAATTTTAACCATGCTACTAAAGATTCTTAAAAAGATCATCAAAATTGACTTTTCTGCCGGAGATTTTTTCATTGGAAAATGAAAAACCCAAGAAAAATCATTGTGTTTTCCCAAAAAGAAGGTTGAGAAAATTGAAAAGCGCTCGCCCGGAGATTATTTTCGTGTGCCGGACAGCCGGAAATTCGTCGAAAAAGCCGGGCGAAAACCGGAGAGGTGCAGGCGACCGTGCTGCCTACCCGTAATCGGGGCGTCGATTTATGCCCAGTACGCTGCAGTGACGATATTTTTACAATAATTTCGGACGGTTATAAAATTACAGGTGGATCGGGCGGAGAAGGAAGAAGGGCAGGGAGAGGGTGGTCTGGTGCCATCTTGCAGCGGTGCTTCCGGTTCGAGGATGGGCCCCGGGCCCGATTCCGGCAGCAGCGCTCCTTCTTCGGTTCCGCAATCGCTGGCTACCTCGAGAGACGACGAAGACGACGATGACGAGGAGAGCAGCGGTAGGCGGTCCAATGGCCACGGAGGATCGAGGTTAGTCATACTCGACGCATCCTTAAATCCCGATCATTCCTGATGTTAGCCCTTAGCATTTTCGCAGATCGAAAGCCGACGATCTCGCGCAATAGACTAAGTTTCTTGATCCTCCTTTTGGTTTCTGATACGAGCAGGTTTCCGTGTTACGCGTTCGAATATTAAAATTCTTTAAATCAAAGTGCATCTATATATTTAAAATATATGTACACGGAAAGAACAATTTTGCTGGATCTTCAGATCTGAAAATAATTTTTGTTCAATAATCAAAATAATTTTGTTAGAAAGTCAAAATAATTGCTAGAATATCAAAACGCTTTATAGCAATGTTTATCATTTTTAACATTCTAACAAACATTTTTTGATGATTCAATGAGAATTAATTTTCAGATCTATTATTCAGGAAAATTTTTAAACCTTTCAACAAAATCGTTCTTTCCGTGTATAATTAATATATTTTGAAATATATCGTATTTTGTTATATTATGAGAAATAAATTACACGTTATTCAAATGAAATTTACGTATCAAAATTTCTGATTGCGAGACATAAATACGTAAACACAGGTTAAAATTACTGTAATTAAGAGATTGCTAGTGCGGAAACTAGCGATTGTCCTTCCCTACAATTTTCTATGAATGCCGTTTCCACGTCCGACATATCGGTTAACAATTTAACGTTAAGCTCATTAAACACGAACTCGTTAACGCGTGTGTTCAGTTACGTGCGATTAAACTCGTAATTATATTTTGCACGTCATGCAATCCGACATGATATCAAAGTTTATAGAATAAATACAGCTATCTGCGCTTCTGTTCGACAACATTTTTTATTCTTCTTTCGCGTGGCAGCTGCATTAAAACCGAAACAATTTGCGCAATTGAGAAATGCATAACGCACACGTTGCGCGATGAATATTGACTGTTATAATATTGCTGCAATTTAGGAAACGCGATTGAGAGGAACACGGAAATTTGCCTATGCACCACACACGCGCATTTGCTCGGAGATATGACTATATACCTTATACTTCTCATTTAGGGGGACAAAACTCTATACTTCTCGTCCCTTTGTGCAATTGATTAATTGCGTATTAATTTAAGCGCATCAATCAGCCGCACTAATTTAGGTGTCCAATCAAGGAGATCCAATCAATTTCTATAATTTTGACGTGTGCTCGCGTATAGAGGGAAGTTTTGGAAATTGAGACGAAGTGCTGTTGTACTGCTGCTGCTGTTGCTGCTTTTTACGTGAACTGCGAGGAGAGAAATGGTAAAGAGAGAAAAATATTGCAGGTGCATCTCTCCGCGAAGGAGATAGGTTCGTAGGAAATTAGATAACGCTGAACCATATACAAGAATCTCTTTTATCCATTTTCCTCGACATTTTCCTCTCTACTCAGAAAAGAGCGACGTCCGTTCCAGTTAACAGCATCACGCTGTATATAATCTCGGAACTGGTCTGTCTCTTGGTGTCCTTACGCGTGTCGCGTCGACACAAAACACGAGATAATTCGCGCGATACCGAAAATGCAGGAGAACACGCTAAATGTCGTCGTATTTAAGTAATTTCATTACTAATTATTGCCTCGAATTTCGTTGCGATCGTGACAATAATCAGTTGTGGCTGTGACTTCTTCTGCGACGTCTGTGCCTGGTGCAAACTGCAATACATTGAAAATTTAATTCGATACTTTAGCTTGCGTTTGATCCCGTTTGTCGGGAGAGTGCTTTAAGTGCCGCTAATGATTTTGCTTTCAACGCGCATTAATATCTAAACGATAAATACGGCAGTCTGTGTACGTAGCGATATACGATATTTAGGATATTCCAGGGGATTATGCGCCTTTTAGACTCCACGATATAAACTTACTCTGATAAACCTTCCGCTACTTTAGTCAGTAAAAAAATAGTCTCCCATTTAAACACGATACGTAATTAAAGTCCTTACAAATTTGTTTAATCATAAGGTTTTCTTTTACACAATGTCACGCTTTCGACAAAGCTTGTATTTACTGCAGATATTCAAGATTAATATCCTGCTTTTCCGCCTCAATTGGAATCGCGGAGATCAAAGCTATAAATGTCGCGAGTTAAATAGTGAAAATCTACCTCGCATTTTCATGCGCGGATACTTGAAACGTATCGAATATTTAACAAAACGTATCGAATATTTCAACAAATCTCGCCGCATTATTCTATCCCACATTTGTCGAGACGGCGAAACGTGAAGTTGCAATGCACCGTAGACGCATACCAGCTTCCAAATAGCTGTCGATACAATGATATTAGCGAAATGAAATCCCGCGTGTATCTCACGTTTAATTTATAAACATCAAACAAAGCGTTTTATTAATTACCGCTCGTCTCTCCCTCTCTTCAACTGCGGTAAGTTACACTCGCAGAGTAGCACATCTCGCGTTTAGAGCTATTGATTTACAAAATATTCTTTACGACGCAAATTGCAGTAACTCAAATCACTTTAAGCTAATAGCGGCGCGGTCTCATTATTCGATTTTCGTGTCGCAACGCGCATTTCGGCACGCACGTCACATGCATCGAAAATGCGCTTTCAATACGGCGCGGAGGTAAATTTCAGGCGGAACATTTTGCGATTTCATAATGGATGGAACTTTAATCGGGCGATGATGAATTTGCGAGTGAGAGCCACCCTCTCGTGCTGCAACATTTAAATATATACGTATAGCATTTCCTCCCCCGTCGTCCCTCATAACCACACGCGCACCCGACGAATACACTAATTCCCAATGTGAAATATTTACTGTGTATACAGCATATACACTTTGCTTTAACCGGGTGTTTGTCACAAATAATGACTTTTTTACCCATGATCGTGCGGGCGGCACGTAACAAGATTATCCGATATCTGAATATACGCGGGAAAAATATTGAAGTTGATAGGACTACGATGCGATGGCCGAGAACTTCAAAAGTTCAATTCCTCTCGCACCGTGTAAAGAATCGGAAATTTTACCGAGAAGCGAGGCGCTGCGGGAAATAAAAAATTTTTGTACATTGTAAATCACTAGGTAATGTAAAATTTTTAATGCAAATAGAAACTTTCAAGTCCTTGCGGTCGTGCATATTAGATAGTAAGTATTTTATTTAAATGAGTCATTTAAATCATCCGTATTTTCCGTAACATAATGGAAAACCTAGATAGATACAATCGTACGTTTTGCATAAAATACATGCGCGCTTTATCTGATTATAAATTAAAGGAATGTGCACGAAATGCGGCTAAATTAACAACAAGTTGAGTTGATAAAGAATAACATAATGTTTTTGGTCGCAAGAAGAGTTAATCATACTAATTTTACATTGTACTATTTTTATTCTTACTATATTTATTATATTATATTATTACTATATTTTATTCTTACTATTATTTATTCTTACTATATTTATTAAAATTTAGTTCAATTTATTTTTTATATTTACATTTTATTCTAGAGATCCTCTTTTATCTCTCTCTTTCTCTCTCTCTCTCTCTTTCTCTCTATTTTTCAAAGAAAAAATTTTTTATTTTCCTCTTTTCAATGTTTTTCTCATAAATTTTATGTTAGTCTAATGAAAAATTCAGTCATCCCCCGCAACGAAGGATTTCACGCCAGTCAAATGGAAAATATATCGGTACGTATCAAAGCGGGATAAAAGAGAAGTTTAAGGCTCATCGCGAACCTAACACCTCTCAATTCACCGTGCTTCTTGCAACGAAATGTTTAAGCTCTCAATTGCGGACTCCATTAAAGTTTGCTCTCGAAGTTCGAAAGGACCGAGGCGAGGCTTAATCTCCTTCTTATACACTCGGTTGATCGCGCCGAAGCTTTTTCACAAAGTAGAATCCAACGACCGCGATATTTCTACCTCGTGCAACGGTCGTTTCGCGGTGAAAGCGATAATGGGAATGATAACTCGGGTGAAATCTTGCACGTAAGTAAACGCGAGGAAATATAATCCGCGCGTGGTAAATCCGAGTAGGGAGAAATTTTGCGAAAAAACTTCTCAGTTTACTTCATCAATCATGGATGGGCAAAGGACGTCGTTAAGCTGGATATCGCGCTTAAATAAATCGGAAAAAAATCTGAAAATCGCGAGATCTTGCCTACAGGTACTTGGAAATGCATATACATTTATCGAGTCAAAAGTTGTATATATTGATCTTAATTTCAATGATCTTAATTTTAAAAATCAGAGTGGCAGTATTATTATCAATCATATAATTTCTATATTTCCAAATTTTTTGAGAGTTTCGAATGATACAAAATTCTAAATATAAATATTGGAAGATATTGAAAAATATTGATAGTTAAATCAAAATGATCAAATAAATTGAAAGAAATTTTCGCATTGGCATTACTTCATTATTGCAAATTGATCAATTTTAGCCTTTCGTGTTGCACTACCGGCTCAGAATTAATTGCATAATTAATTGGAATTAAAAGAATGGAGAGCGAAACTGAGAGATATACAACGATTTATACGCTGTTTACTGAAGCCCACAATACGATAACGTTTTCGTATATCGATACGCTGACGAAGTTTACCCTAATGACGTTAGTGCGGCTCTAATAACGCCGATCCCGGCGGTCTCCCCGGCGTGGATTATTACTCTCGGGCCAATTACAGCTCTCACGTTCGACGGAGACGCGACCCGCTTTTCGCTTGGATGCAAAACGTGAGAGATTTTCTTCCGCCTTGGAATTATGTCTCGAGGCAGTATCTCCAGCTTGTCGCCGCGATCGCGACGGGGCATCGTAATGCCGCTTCTCGCGGAGATATCGAGGGAAACAGTCTTTGTCGCGAGGCTGGATTTTTTCCTCCCGAGGAAAGACGTATTTCAATGAGCAAATCTACTTTCAATGAGGACGAAGCTTATATAAAGAGATTGAAGCGATATTCGCGCGATAATGATGATAGATCTTGACTCAGAAATGCATACCTTTTTTTATCCTTTTTTTAAATGTACCTCTTACAATT